TGATCGCCCCTCACGCTAACCCCTTCCTGCCCAGTGCCATTAGTACAGTGTCAGTGCTTTTTTTATTAGCACTGATCACTAGATTAGTGTCACTGGGGATTTCAGTGACACAAGTCAGTTCTCCCCATTATCAGCCTGCTAGAAGTTGCTGATCAATAGATAGAGATATAAGAAATTGAATGTTATAAGACATTTGTTAATGTGTAATTTCTTTAAGTGCCAATATAGATAGATAGATATAGATTTTTTTTCCTTTTCTAAAAAGGGTAATAGTTGCACTCCAAAGTTATAAAATACAAATACTTAGTACCCAATATCCAAATATATTGCGCTATTGTGATATGCTCTACTACTGATTAAAACCAACAAATACCAATTGATGTGTTTTTTAAACAGTGAAAGTCTCCTAACAACCAAAATTTTGTTCTGCGAATAGCCACATCCACAATCCTCACTGTGTGTTTAGTGTCTTTGGATATTCTATTAGAAGACCTATGCAATAAAAAAATCAAATTTAGCCCCCAAATTTTTTTTTTTTAAATCTTTTGGATTTAAAAAAAAAAAATCCCAATAGGTGTATCATGTAGGTATGATAGTGTGGCGGGTAATGTGATACTGACTGGGAGGTACACTGACATTGTAACACTAATGCAGTGATCAGTGCTAATGCTTTACACTGTCACACTAATCTGTACCGAACAATGTGTAATATGTGCTGCTTTTACGGAGACCTGGCCGTTTTTTTTTTTTTTTTTTTTTTTTTGGTTTTTTTTTTGGTTTTTTTTTTTTTGGTTTTTTTTTAAAACTGCCACTACTGCTCTGTGTACAGAGCCCTGTGATTGTAAGCCCAGGACTGGGTGTGCTGTGAGTGGACACAGCCAATCAGCGGGTCTTGGCTGTAAATCATTGGCCAGTCTCTGCTGACATATTTGGGGTGTCCAACCACAGTGTGGGTCAGCAGGGGGCTAGGAAGCAATCTTGCTATGTTTACTGTGATTTGAGCAGTATGTGGTTTTACAAGGCGAGGGTTACATAACTTTTTTTTTTTTTTTTTTTTTTTTTTTCTCTAATAAAGTGCAGAGCAGCATTCATCTAGGGGCTCATGCGCACAATTGTTGAAGGCACATGGGTATACAGCTCCCCTTGGTCTACATTGACAGTGTATGGTTTACAGATGTACAGCAAGTGCCAGCAATATGCATCTGTAAGTGATAACTTCTGAATGGAAGTTTTGCTCACAGGTATGTTCCTGAGCACAATACCAGCATACACCCATATAAAGCATATTCTGGCAGGCCTATGTGCTGAATTACACACTAACTGCAGCTCCTGGGTACTGCTGTGTATGCTGTACAGCCATACACGTCTATTTTATATCTGTGCATGAGCCTTAAGGTGTTACACATTTTGCTTACATCTGTAAACTCAAAAGTTCATTTGTGTCCTCTGATCAGTCGATTCTGATGCATTCCTAAGCCATCAACACTTGAAAATATACAATGGCGCAGAAGTGAGTACACCCCTCCAAATTTTTGTAAATCTTTTTTGTGACAACACTGAAGAAATGACTTTGCTACAATGTCAAGTCGTGAGTGTACAGCTTGTATAACAGTGTAAATTTACTGTCCCCTAAAAATAACTCTACATGCAGCCATTTAATGTCTAAACCGCTGGCAACAAAAGTGAGTACACCCCTAAGTGAAAATGTCAAAATTGGGCCCAGGGTGTCAATATTTTGTGTGGCCACCATTCATTTTTCAGCACTGCCTTAACCCTCTTGGGCATGGAGTTCACCAGAGCTTCACAGGTTGCCACTGGAGTCCTCTTCCACTCCTCCGTGACGTCACGGAGCTGGTGGGTGTTAGAGACCTTGTGCTCCTCCACCTTCCGTTTTTGAGTATGCCCCACAGATGCTCAATAGGGTTTAGGTCTGGAGACATGCTTGGCCAGTCCATCACCTTTACCCTCAGCTTCTTTAGCAAGGCAGTGGATGTCTTGGACGTGTTTGGGGTCGTTGTGTTGGAATACTGCCTTGCGGCTGTTTCCAAAGGGAGGGGATCATGCTCTGCTTCAGTATGTCACAGTACATGTTGGCATTCATGAATCCCTCAATGAACTATACAGTTGCAAGAAAGTATGTGAACCCCATGGGATTACGTGGAGTTTTGCATGAATTGGGCATAAAATGTGCTCTGAACGTCATCCAAGTCACAACAATAGAAGAACACAGTCTGCTGAACATAATACTACACAAACATTAGATGTTGCCATGGTTTAATTGCACATAACATGTAAACATTCACAGTGCAGGGAGGAAAAAGTATGTGAACCTTTGGACTTAATAACTGGTTGACCCTCCTTTTGGCAGCAATAACCTCAACCAAACGTTTCCTGTAGTTGCAGATCAGACCTGCACAACGATCTAGAGTAATTTTGGACCACTCCTCTTCACAAAACTGTTTCAGTGTAGCAATATTCTTGGGATGTCTGGTGTGAATCGCTCTCTTAAGGTCATGCCACAGCATTTCAATCGGGTTGAGGTCAGGGCTCTGACTGGGTCACTCCAGAAGGCGTATTCTGTGCTGTTGCAGCCATTGTTTTGTTGAATTACTTTGTATGCTTTGGGTCATTGTCCTGTTGCATCCTCTGCGGAGCTTCAGTTGGCGGACAGATGGTCGTACGTTTTCCTGCAAAATGTCTTGATAAACTCTGGAATTCATTTTCCCATCAATGACGACAATCCGTCCAGGCCCTGAGGCAGCGAAGCAGCCCCAAACCATGATGCTCCCTGCGCCATTTTTTACAGTGGGGATGAGGTTTTGATGTTGGTGTGTTGTGCCTTTTTTTCTCCACACATAGTGTTGTGTGTTCTTCCCAAACAACTCAATCTTGGTTTCATCTGTCCACAGTATATTTTGCCAGTAGTGCTGAGGAACATCCAGGTGCTCTTTTGCAAACTTCAAACGTGCTGCAATATTCTTTTTGGACAGCAATGGCTTCCTCCGTGGTGTCCTCCCATGTACTCCATTCTTGTTTAATGTTTTCCTTATTGTAGATGTGTCAACAAAAATGTTAGCATGTGCCAGAGATTTCTGTAGGTCTTTAGCTGACACTCTGGGATTCTTCTTTACCTCATGCAGCATTCTGCACTGTGCTCTTGCAGACATTTTTTACAGGACGACCATGCCTAGGGAGAGTAGCAACAGTGCTAAACTTTCTCCATTTGTAGACAGTCTGTCTTACCATGGACACTTGAACATCAAGGCTTCTGTAGATATTTTTGTAACCCTTTCCAGCTTCATGCAAGTCAACAATTCTTGATCGTAGGTCTTCTGAGAGCTCTTTTCTGCGTGGCATGGTTCACATCAGACAGTGCTTCTTGAAACCAGTAAACCCAAAACAGGTGTGTGTTTTTTAAGGGCAGGACAGCTGTCAGCAACACATCCAATATCATCACACTGATTGGAGTCAAAGTTGGCTCACTCCTGGCTCCAATTAGCTCTGGGAATTAAGCTAGGGCCTCGCATACTTTTTCCTCCCTGCACTGTGAATGTTTACATGTTATGTGCAATTAAACCATGGCAACATCTAATGTTTGTGTAGCATTATGTTCAGCAGACTGTTCTTCTATTGTTGTGACTTGGCTGACGTTCGGAGCACATTTTATGCCCAATTCATGCAAAACTCCACGTAATCCCAAGGGTTTCACATACTTTTTCTTGCAACTGTAGCTCCCCAGTGCCAGCAGTACTCGTACAGCCCCAGACCATGACACTCCCACCACCATGTGCTTGACTGTAGGCAAGTCACACTTGTCTTTGTACTCCTCACCTGGTTGCCGCCACACACACTTGGCATCATCTGAACCAAATAAGTTTATCTTGGTCTCATCAGACCACAGGACATGGTTCCAGTAATCCATGTCATTAGTCTGCTTGTCTTTGGCAAACTGTGGGCTTTCTTGTGCATAATCTTTAGAGGCTTCCTTTTGGGATGACAGCCATGCAGACCAATTTTGATGCAGTGTATGGTCTGAGCACTGACAGGCTGACCCCCTCCACGCCTTCAACATCTGCAGCAATGCTGGTAGCGCTCGTACATCTATTTCCCAAACACGTCCTCTGGTTATGACACTGAGCGCGTGCACTCAACTTCTTTGGTCGACCATGGCGAGGCCTGTATTGTTAAACTGCTGTATGGTCTTGGCCACCATGCTGCAGCTCAGTTTCAGGGTCTTGACAATCTTCTTGTAGCCTAGGCTATCTTTATGTAGAACGAAATCTTTTTCAGATCCTCAGTTCTTTGCCGTGAGGTGCCATGTTGAACTTCCAGTGACCAGTAGAGTGGTGACGCCAAATTTTAAACCTGCTCCATTTAGATCGGAGACCTTGTAACACTAACGAGTCACATGACACCTGTGAGAAAATGGCTAATTGGGCTCAATTTGGACATTTTCACTTAGGGATGTACTCACTTTTGTTGCCAGCGGTTTAGACATTAATGGCTGTGTTATTTTGAGGGGACAGCAAATTTACACTTGTACAAGCTGTACACTCACTGCTTTACATTGTAGCAAAGTGTCAATTTCTTCATTGTCGCATGAAGATCTAATAACTTACAAAAATATGAGGGGTGTACTCACTTCTGCGAGATACTGTATGTTGCTAGGAACTGTGGTATGTTGATATGGTCAGAACGTGCTGCTTTCCCTATAAAAGCAGTTGGGATGCCAAATCCAGTTGATTTCAGCTTGGGCAATCTAACTGAATCATTTTAAAGTGTCTAAAGCAGTATTGTATCTAGAAGCAAGCCTTTTAAGTAGACATGAGCCCGAAGCCAATCAACAGAACATTGTTTAGATCAAAATGCCTAATTTTTTTAAATCTATTTAAAGTGCCAATTTTTTAAGATGTTTTCTATTGTAGATCTACTTTGCTTTTCGACATTTTTGTAGTATTATATTGTGTTCTACTAAACTGTCATAATTTAAAATATTCTAGGAAAATGTTTGTTGGTGGTCTCAGTTGGGATACAAGCAAGAAAGACCTAAAAGATTACTTTTCTAAGTTTGGTGAAGTGACTGACTGCACAATCAAGATGGACTCTAATACTGGTCGATCTAGGGGGTTTGGCTTTATTCTGTTTAAGGATGCTTCTAGTGTTGACAAGGTTTGTATTCTGCCTAGAGGTGTGTTTTTTTTTTTTTTTTTTTTTTTTTTTTTTTTTTTTTGTTTTTTTTGTTTTTTTTTTTTGTTGTTTTATTACCTATTAAAGTGTTTGGTTTTTTTTGGTACTTAAGATTCTTCATTTATGACAGGTTTTAGAACAGAAGGAGCACAGACTGGATGGGAGAGTGATTGATCCAAAAAAAGGCAATGGCTATGAAAAAGGACCCAATAAAGAAAATATTTGTTGGAGGACTGAATCCGGAAGCAGGTGAAGAGAAGATCCGGGAGTACTTTGGGATATTTGGTGAGGTATGTCTGCTACTATCTATATACATGTAGACATTTCTCGTGGTCGATGATTGACATGGCCTCGTCTTATTCTCTACTATGGTGTAATAGTTCCATCTACAGGAGTAGGACACTAGGCAGAAAAACTTGCAATGTCTAGGCAGTTCTAGCTGATAGAAACCCCTTCTCAGAAGGGACGACACAGCCCCTTGTAGGCCATTGCAGGCCAGTGAGTTAAACCATCCGTGTCCTTGTCATATCACTTCCCTGGCATACAGTCCCCCACTTTGGTGGCAAGGTGGATCAGTCAATAGTTCCCCCCCCCCCCCCCCCCCCCCCGGTATGGTAGATGCGGGTGCTCCCTGAGTGTTCCTTTGCTCCCATCTTGGCACCCTTTTTCTGTCGGGTTACCTCCTGAACCCTCATTGCCTAGATGGAAATTTTTTTTATTTTTCAACAATGTTGCTGCCTCTGGCCCCTCCTGTTTTCTACCTTGTAGATTCCCCCAGGCTTTCTCTCTCCAGGCACTCTGCACAAAGGCTTTGCTTGCTATCCTGGTGGCCTGCTGTCGGTGCTCATCCTGGTTTGGTATTCCTCTGCTGGTATTGTGGGTTAACACCCCTCCCCATGGGGGTCTCCTCTTTGCATAGAGTCTCTCAGGATCACACCTCTCTGCCTGATTCCCTCCTGCAGCTGGTGGCTTCCTCAATCTGATTCCCCTTGACATTTTGATGATGATCCTTGAGTTCTAAGCAGTAGCAATAGGTGTTTTGGTTGCCAGGAACATACAATAAATCAAAGTATGCGTGGATCTTTTGACACTGTCTACAGGTTCATTGAGTAATGTGATCCAAGGATCTTTTGTAATAACCATAGTTACTGAGTAGATTAGCGAATGAGCCTGTATCCAAAAATACTGGACTTTGGGGCAGGTCCACCACGTATGGAGAGCAAAGCCAAGCTGGCCACAACCCCTGAAGCAGGAAGGTGATGAGCCTGGGTACATCTTTAGACACTCCAGGTATGAAGTACCATCTTGCTATCACCTTGTACCGTGCTTCCTTTAGGGCTACATTCATTCTGCCCTTGTGTATATGCATAGACACAGTCCGCCATTCCTCCATCAGGGGATATGCCCAAGTCTTTCTCCCAAGCAGTTTGAGAGGGAAGTTTTGTACATCATGGAGATGCAACCCCTCAGTGTCTGTTTTCATTGTGAGGTCAGAACTTCATCTGTAGAGAACAGATCAAGTGATGGTTGGTGAAAGCTTTGAGGAGTGCATCTCCAAATCCTGTATATAGTATGAGGGGAATGTACAACACCCCCACCCCCCCTCCTGTGGTCCATAAATTGTCCTATACATTACAGGCCCTTTTTTCATCTACCAACAGAACTGAGCAAGTTACATGCCTGGTGGAAATAATGGGTTATTTAAAGGGGGGGGGGGGTGCTATAGGTTTGTTAAAGCAACTGAGGGGCCACTGTCTGAAAGTCTATTCCCATGGGCCTTTAGAGTGGGAGACTGTAGGGCACAAGATGGCCCTTTTTTTGTTGTGGTTTTGAAAGGAGCCAATTATCAATCTATTGGCACTGGGGGGCAAGCTTGAGCCTGTATACCCAGTCTGCCCTATAGTGTTTATGGTGGAGTTAACATAATTGTGAGTTGAGCTGCAGTGTAGTGGTTCAGTAAATCTGGTACCCCAATACCCCCTAGATCCTAAGATTAAAGAGCTTTTCATTTGGAACTGTCTTAAGGCCTCCATTGACACAGATGGGTAAAAGTAATGTATCTTAAGCAGTACTGTGTTTTTTTTGTGTTTTTTTTTTTTTCTCACTGATGCAATTCTACCCATCCAAGATGAGGTTGAGTCTGACAAAGTCCTCATGTCTTCCAGAAGTTTATTAAAATGTGCCAGGTAATTTTGTTTTATAAAGATGAAATTTGGAGAGTCAACTTGATCCCCAGATATGCAAGTAAAGCAGTTTGCCACATGAATGGGTACTGAGCCTGAGTGCATTGCACTCGGTAGATTAACATTCATGGCCTCTGATTTTTAACACTATTAACCAGGAGGCCTGAGATCAGTCCAATAAAGAAAATTGTGGTACGATGGGGTGTGTGACAAATAACAGCAGGTTATCTGCGAAAAGTGCATATTTATGGTGCTGGTTTCTACTCGTGGTCCCTATGTTTGAGTCCTGATGGATCACAATAGCAAGAGTCCATCACAATGACTAACCATAAAGGATAAAGTGGGCACCCCTGGCAGGTGCCGGAGGAGTTAATGTATGGTGCCAACTTATGGTTTTGCAGACAGATCTGTGCTATCGGATTACTATAAAGTCAGCAATCGATTGCCATAGCTTTTAGTAAGCAATTTCAGGTCATTATTTGAGATGGGCCTATAATTATCCACACCACTTGGGACTTATGAGGCTTTGGGATAAGCGTTATGAATGCTCTATTGTAATGAAGATGTATGGGTCCCCTTCTTAAATGGTGTTTAACCACCAGCCTACAGGGCACTTATACCCCCTTCCTGCCCAGGCCAATTTCCAGCTTTCAGCACTGTCACACTTTGAATATTGCGTGGTCATGCAACACTGTATCCATATGAAATTTTTTGTTTTCCCTTTTTTTTTTTTTTTTTTTTTTTTTTTTTTTTTTTGAGACCTTTCTTTTGGTGGTATTTTAATCACCTCCTAGATTTTTTTTTTCTTTAACAAACAAAAATGTTTTTCCTTCAATTCAGTGGTTTTTGGTTTTACAATTTTGTAAATAAGTGATTTTTCCTCCTTCACTGATGTGCGCTAAAGAGGCTGCAGTGATGGGCATTGACAGGCGGCACTGATACACTGCACTGACTGGGTGACATTGAAAGGCAGCTCAGATGGGCACTGATATGTGGCATTGATGTGCACTGACTGCTGGCACTTCTGGGGCCACACTGATCGTCAGTGCCCTGATGATCAGTGTACATGTCCCCTCCACGGAAAGCCGATTACCGGCTCTCCTCTCCTCTTGAGCTGTCAGCATGACAGCTTGAGGAGAGAAATGCCAATAACCAGCATTTCCGTGTTTACATGTAATCCGCTGTGATTGGGGACAGCTGATCACATGACCGAGCCGACATCTTCGGCTGTTTCCGTGATCCGCTGTGTCCAAATGACACAGTGCACCGGCGATCGCCGTGCTGCGCGCTCCCTGAGCCGCACATGCGCGATGAGAATGGAAGGTCATATGCCGTCCTATCAGAACGAGAGAACCATCTTGCTCCCGTCATTGTACTATATGGCAGGTGGCTAAAGTAGTTTACCAAAGGGGTGACCGATGGTGGCGCAAACTTGTCACTAAAGCCATCAGGGCCAGGAGCCTTACCCATTGGGGCCTGTTTTAATAGCAGACAGGACTTCTGCCACTGTAACAGCCTTTCAATGAGTTCTGTGTTCTGTAAGCAAGGCTGGAATGGGCAGATTAGCCGTGAAGTCATAGGAGTTCTGTGTGTTGGATAGCTTTTTGGCCCTTGTAGTGAGGCAAACATTTAAATTCTAGCCTGGCTGCTTCTATCTGGCCGCGTAAATCAACCTGTGGATTCTGTTTTATGAGCCTTAAGCAGGTCAAGTAAGGCCTTTTCTTTTAGTCTATTTCATAGAACTTATATCTGGTGGCTATTTGAATTAATGTGCCATGGCCTTGTGTGCCGCCAATGTACACATGGATGTATAAGCAGGATTATTTTAAAGAAGAAAAATTCCTTCAGTTTAAGTTCTATATCAAGGCAAGTGGCTGGATTGCTGAAAAACTCATTAAGATGCCAGGTATAAGATGTTGGGCTATGGAGTGAAGAATTGCACACTAGGACAGAGGAGAGTGATTGGACCCGGCAGTCTCTAAAATCTTTGAGGACGTGCACAAAGGTAATGAGGTGGGGGACGTGAGGATATGATCTATCCATGACTAGGTAAGCGTGGATATGGGAGAAAAATGTGTAATCCCGCCCAGTGGCATTAAATTCCCCCCCAGATGTCCACTAAATCGTGAGCATGCAATAATTTGGCAAGCTTGGAGGGTCTCAGGACCTGGAAGTCTGGAGGGGTGTCTTGTCCAGAGCTATATTGGAGTCCTTTCTCAAAAGAATCACACTTTGGAAATGGGATAGTGTACGTAGGAGTGTTTGGAAGAAGCTGAGTTGGTCAGTGTTTGGTGCATATATTTAGTAATGTCACTAGGGAACCCTTCAATAAAAAATCTGCCCTTGGGGTTATCTGATGGCGAGAAAGATGGACACTTAGATACATATGGCAACTCCACGTGTTTGTCTGGGGTCTTCGACAAGGTGGGGAAAGGTTTGTGGATGAAGCTAGGTTGATTTGAGATGGAGAAATTAGTTTGGATGTTGTCAATACTGAGTGGTAGGTGAGCTGGCCATGGTCTTGGATAGAGCGTAGATCACTTGTTCCCACATTCAAGACTCTGCAGGAGAGTGGGTTACACACAATCTGGTGGCTGTTGCCATGAGATTGTCTAAAACTGACTCTCTACTTGTCAGGTGGGTGCATTTGGGCAGCTTCACACTGCCACCCGATTTTTCTTCCACAGCCCCCTGTGGTGACCCATAGAGATGTGTATGGTATAGTTTCTGGGTCACTGCTGTCATTTCACTCAAAGTGAAATGCATTGCAATACGTCCAGTGCAGCCCAGGGGAGACATTCTTGAGGTGTGTTAAAAAAAAATTTATTGCACAAATGGTTATGCCAAGCCCATAACATCCTCGCCAAACAAATGTTTAGGCCACCACATAAACGCATGCATTGGGGACGCCTGCACGCTACACATGAAAACGTTGATTGCATGTCGCCGTGCATGCTGGAGTGAGCAATAATACTAGTACAAGACCTCCATAACACTCAACTGATGCCCTGCAGGGGTTTTTGAAGTGTCGCCATTAAACAAAAAAGGTACTAGTTTGTCATTTCCTTCTATGGCAGGTGAAAAGCAAATACATTTGTGTGCACCTG